CAGCTCGAGAGAAAGGTAAGATGTGTCGACCACTCCGGAGCTCCATGCAGCATGTACATTGACGAAGCCGGACGACTGATCGATCGATCGAAGGATAAAGTTAACAAGAAACACTTCGCTGTCCTTTCTTTTTGTTCCTATGGTCAGAAATAGCGCCACGACATCTATACATTATCGCAAAACCAGAGCAGGCAGTCGCCGACAAAATAAAAACGGAATAATGGAAATAAAAGTATAGAAGAGGAAGAAGAAGAAGAAGAGAAGAAAGAGAATAAGAAGAGAACGTAAATAGTAGCAAAATTGTTATCGCTTCGTTCCTCTAGTAGTACCGTTATATATTTTCGCAAAAGGCATCGTAAGTTGGAAGGCTTAAAACAATCCGCGGACGCTCCAGAAACCATATCTGCACCCAACCAGCATACTGATCAACTAAGCGTTGACGTGCGTCGGAATGCCGATTTTCGCGAACGCTTCCAACGTCCACTTCCGCGCCAGCTTGATGTTCAGATCGATATACTTCTGCCGCAGCTGCCGTACCTTTGCCGCCTTGGCCTTGCGCTCGTCGTTGCTGAGCTTCAGCACTCGGCCGATGACGTCGAAGTCCGTCTCCGTGTCCGACTGCAGCCAGACAACGTCCTCCTCCAGGTATGCGTACGCATCGACAATGGCCTTCGTGGCGACCAGTGGCGTGCCCGCGATCAAGCTCGCAGGGACTGTCGACGACGCCTTCCGGTCAAGATACTCGGGCGTGGCGAATGCCGGCAGCAGCGCGAAGCAGCGGGATAGGATAGTGTAAAAGTCGATATAGTTGAGTCCTTCGTCGAAAACAACATTGTTGACGACTGCATCCGGCACGTTCGGGTGCTTTCCGTGACCGACGAGGTGCAGCGTGATGTTCTTCGCGCCCTCACCGGGTGTATGTGCTTCTTCGTCGACGTCTTCGTGCGTCGCCTCGCCGTTCTGCGCGGACGGTTTCAAAAAGCCGGCGAGCCGCTCAAACACCATCTTGTAGTCTCGACGCTCCTGTCCAAAGTCACCCTGCAGGCCGAAGCTCAGGTTATCGTCGTTGGGGATCGGTGGCAGCTGCACGGGGAAGACCGGGACGAAGTGTCGGATGAGCGGCTGGTGGCCCTCCTCACGCACGACCTTCCACTTCTTCAAGCTCTTCTCGAGCAGATACTCGGCCGTATGTGGGCTCAGCGCGATAAACTCGACGCGGTTCGCACGCACCCAGGGGCTCAGCGTCTCCTCGAGATGGTGCTTCTCAAAGCCCCACCGGTCAGCGTGGTGGATGAAGCAGAAGACGTACGTCTTGTGGTGCTCCAGCAGCTGGGTCATATTGAACTTGAAGTGGCGGATGTCAAACTCGCAGGTGGTGGACAGCACGATATCCGGGATGGGCTGGTCTTCGTCCCAGCGGCGGAAATCGTCCATGGCGCGAGGGTTCGGGATCGGATTGGCGAGGTCGAACGTCCGCATGATGTCGTGCGAGCCGTACCGGGACAGCCGCTGGAAGAAGGTAAGCTCGACGGTGGGTATCTTGCCCCAGGAATTGACGAGGGCGGCGACGACCTCATCGTGCGAGCCGCCGGTTTCAAGCACTGTTATCCGCAGGTTTCGCTTCTCAGCTAGTATCTGCTCTTGGGCTGTGCTCGACAACGGCGAGAAGCCCGTCGGCCGGCTGGGGGCCTGGTAGATGAAGGTACCGGCGAGGAAAAGGGAGGCGAAGGCGAAGATGAGGAGGATGCTAACGCGGCGAGCCATGTTTGAATGATTCCTTCGAGGCCCGCGTCACTCGCAGGCGAGGCGATTGAGCCACGAGGCGAATACGAAACGAAGGATAGTTAGAAGGAAGGTGAGAAGCTGGAAGGATAGCGACGGGCGACGTGGCAGGCGTGGTGTTTCGATGGTGGTAGGAGTCAGTCCCACGTTTTGGGCGTCCGCGTGGGCGGTGATCTGAGATGGAGGTTGTTCACGGGTGCTGTCAGGGAGAGAAGACAGGTGGAAGGCGTTGGTTGCCGCACGTCGCCAACGTTAAATAGAAACAGGGACCGGCACGAAGTATAGCACCTGTATAGGTAAATAATACGTGTAATAAATCCGAAGAAAAAGAATAATGGTCGACGGGGAAAGGGATAGCTTTAATTTTGCAGGCCAAGAGAAAATAAAACAAATTAGCAGCCGCTATTGGATGTGATTATTGCGAAGAGCGAAGGCCGCCGCCAAAGGAGAAAGCCACCCAGCTGGCAAGGAACGGACACAGCAGCTCGACAATGCCGAGGACGACAGCCCGGGAATTCCACTTGCTCTCTCGAGAATGAGCGACTCGAAGAAGATGCAGAGTATGAAGTATGTCTGGCGATAGTTATGTGCTATCGTCGAAGGGACTCGGTCCAATCGAGGGAGCCCAGCCCCTGATACTAGTACGCTGTACCTAGTTCTGCCGTGGCCCAGCTGCCGTTGGCTGGCGACTGCGGGCCAAGACAAGGCAGAAAGGGGTCAAACACCCGGAAATATTATTGCTGGAGACCTGTCTACTCGATCTGGCCTCGGCGTCGACGACGGCTGCCGGGTGGAATCGAAGCGAACCAGCGGAATGGAATTGGAAAGGGGTTACCGCGAGGATCAAATTCTGAATTTCCCACAAAGCTATGCTGAGCACTCGATGACATTGAAGAAACCAGAAAATTCTGCAGAGCCTTAATTAATACCGGCTGTTACCAAGTTCTACACCGAATTCAAATTCACCCGCCAGAGCCAGTTCCAAGCTTGCCCTTAGCTAAACATTTCTCTTTGGCGGCGGCAAACCTTCATAACTCAGCTCAGCCTTACGTATACATCCACATTTCTGACTTTGCCGATATAATTACTACTTCAGTAAGATGGAGAAAGTTTAAAATAACTTGAGCAGCAACTGCTGGCTGGCGTCATCAGGCACTCTTCATACATGTATATCAGCTCACACGACTTGCTCCGCGCCGGCCCTTGCATATAAATACACGATTCGCCGCCTTCCTCGTCCCGCGCTCCACGGACCTTCGGAACCCTCTCGCGGGATAAGCTTGCCGATACACCAATACCCCCAGCTGCCCAGGCACTGAACCGAACACCCGCGTGGACTGTCCTTTCCGTCCCTCTCGGCAGCCATTTTTAGAACCGCGTACCATAGTTCACCTGGATGATAGGGTACCGTTGCATGCTGATTCTGCAATCTAGATCTGCATGCATATGTGCGCCGTCGTGGGCGTGCTCCTGCCGGTTGGAGCTGCGAGCCGCCAAGGCTAGCTGCCCTTCATAGCTATATGCTTTCCTTCGCTCACAATTACTGACAGCAGCTTGCTTTCTGCTAAACTCGCTAAACTCGAGTCCTCAATAATCATCTTATTTGCTTGATAAATCTATGGCTTCCTATCTAGGTGATTTTGAATATTTTGCGCTTATTTCTTGGATAACTTGGTCAGGCCTGATAAGGCGCAGCCTTGGGCTATAGGCGCCATTTAGAGCCTTTTGAATAGAGCAGACAATATGATGTTTAATCTTTGGACACGTGGCTGGTGAACCCAGTAAATACTTAGTGTTTATCGGTTTATTCATAAAAATTTCACGAGCAGCTTTTAGTAAACTTTACGCATGATACCGGCCGGGCCTGACGATCACGACCGACCGAATCTATATCAAAATTTTGTCTGGTATCTCGTCTGGTATAACTCGCAGGCCAAACACTCTTTCACTTGTATCTATCACTTATTAATTTCATAAATCAGATCTGCAGAGTCAGGCGACCAATTCATCAACAGGTTACCTTATATATAATAATACCGCTCGCTAATTCTGGAATGAATATACTGTCGTCGTCGTATCTAGATATAACAATGAACGCGAAAGTAAGCATATATACAAAGCTTGCTACCGCTCATAACAATTTGAATTTTCGCGGATAAGAGCCGTTGGGTTCAATCTAGGAGTTACCCGTATACGGGAAATATACACGACGGAGTCCTCGATCGATGAGTTCTGTACTAGAATAGAATAGAGGAATTAAGCAGGCCTGACGTGCGGTTTGGCTCGCGAGACCAGTTCACGGTCTTCGAATTGGTCCTATCTGAGCTACAACGTTGCCGGCTCACCATGTACTTATTGGGACTGCTCTGACGACTACGCCTTTGATTGTACCTATGCTGTAGCTCCAACTTGTCTACGACGGCGCGGCATCTGCTAGTCTATCGCTATAGTAACAAAAGTTCGATAGTCGTAGAACCACTGTCGATAGATATAGTAATATTGAAAATGAGCTGTATGATATTGCAATCCAACACCCCTAACCATCCATATTTCCGTTTTCGAAACAGCTGTGCTAATTATGCCGACAATCTCGTTGGCCGATCGAGCCATTCGTAAGCTCGCTACGTACGCTAACTGCGATATTTTGTCGGCAGTCTGGTTCAGGAGGCAAATATTTTGTGGTAAAAGGCGATCTTCGGTCGAGTAAGAAGGAATGCATCTGTGGGACTACACAGTTCTCTAACAAACACAGGTATACGTTTTCCTGATGTAGTATCTGGTACTAGCTTGAACTTGTGGATCTGGCTATAGCACGAATATCCTTGCTTCCTGACCAGGTTGCTCACGAGTATCAATCAAATTAAATTTCGAATTCTCGTGGAACAATTCGTGTTGGGCGCTGTACTTCGTATAGGAGCCCACATTAATACCAACACATCGTGTAAAAAAATATCGACACTGCTGGTCTCGCAAGTCAAATTAAGTCTCCAGCGGCGCTCACGAGGACGAGGCTCCTTAACGAGACCACGTACAGAGACGCCAATAGCAGCCCCAGTTGCACATCAAACCCATCGTGCTGCGGTCAAAACAGGCCTCAGATATGTGTTGGCGGGGATATGTTGATATTTGTGGAGGAAGTCGATATCAACAACTGGCCTACTGGCCCAATGGGTAAGCATCAATCCATAACACAACATCTGGATTTCCAGCATGCTAACAACCTTCTAGCAAGGCGTCTGACTACGAATCAGGAGATTGCAGGTTCGATCCCTGCGTAGGTCATCTATAATTTTTTTTTTTTTTTTTGTCCTTGGTAGAAACTGTCGACAAACATATGTCTCGTTTCCCTTTTTTGTAGACATAGTCGACAAACAGGTCGATGACATGTCATAATTTTTGTGTTTTGAGAAAGTTGAGATGAGGGGAGTAGATAATTCTACTTAGTAGTTAGCTATCTCGTCCTGAGTTGTGAAGCATAGTGATCATCGATCATCGATCATCGGTTTTCCTATTTCTATGAAGAATTGGGTTAGAATAATACAGCACACCGCTGACACCGTCTAGCGTCTGGCCAGGCATTTTCCATCTTAAGCCGGCTTGACTCTAAGTCTGCGCTGCTCTTGCACTACCCGCTCATTGATCTTGTCTGCTGTCTAGACAGCCCAACCTGTGCATAGCTTCGGTTTCCACCATAGCAATATCAATGCATCCGCAGCATAGCTAGCTCGCTTCAGTCCATGGTACTACTGGACCACGCAGCGTATTATTAAACGAGTGGCTTGGAATCCGTAACTGATAGCCGATGCCGCATCCTGCTTGCCTTGGAGGTAGAGTTTATGCGTAGGGAGTACTCCGGAGTCTGCTTCCTTACTACTTTTCCAACTGTGTACGCTAGGTCTATCCGTTTTCCCTTTCCTTTCTTTTTTCCGGGCTGCGAGGTGATATCGGTTCCAAGACCTTGTGATTAAAGCTTACTGTCGAGATTCTTACATCCCGCCTACTTCCGAGGAGCCTCGAATGCTGGGTATTCAGTCAGCTGTACCAGCATTTATATTGTATCTGTGTCTAGATAAAAGTCTAGAAAAGCATGCTTGTATCACCCCTATGCAATTTATGTGTGTGGCTTTATAAAAGTTGAACAGACACCCCTTGCATCCGGGCACAGGGAACAACCCTGCCCTGATATAATTCTAGGAGAATTTAAAAAATCGTCCAAATTGACCCCGTCATTCGATTCGAAATTTGATTGAAGCAAAAAGATATAAAAAAACGATATCATGGCCGTCTTCAACATGCGCATGCAGATGATAAAAAGGAAATGATCGTATAAAAACCGTTACATGAATTCATTCCCCCGCTGTCCACAAACGCCATGTTTTGTTCAAAATGATATGGTATGATATAATATGATGATGCGAGATGATATGATATGATATGATAGAATGTCTGACAAAAACAAAGGAGAGGAGCTAAGGTGAGAGTAAAGATAACTGTCGTAAGAAAATGTCATGCAAGCATGAATGCATATACCTCGTTACCGAATAGATTGTTGTCTATGTGCTGTTCCGGCACCCGCACATCAGGTTCTCGATGAACGAGTTGACCGAATCCGTCACAAACATCCATGTCCACATCCCCATCACGGAGATCATGAAGATCCAGAACCGGGCGCCGATGAACTCGTTCCGCCGGATGTCTGTGATCACCTCGTTGAGGTAGTCTTCGAGCAGATAATCAAGGCTCAACTCCCTCGGGTCGTCGCCAACGCCTAGGATCTCGTCGACAAGGGCATCTGTTGCCGAGTCCTCTTGCGCATGCTGCTTTGGAGAGGAAGGCACCTCCTCGACGTGGACGTCGACGACTGCTTCTTCGTCCGCAGCAGGCTCCGGTCTAGGCGTCGAAGGAGATGGCTTGATGGTTTCGGCCGATGAGGTGAGCGAAGAAACGGATAGTTGATCAGGTGATGGGAGGAGCCCAGAGATATCCGCACAGAGCGGAGGAGTAGGCGGGGCGGTTGGTGGCTGGAGCACCGGCCGTATTGTGTCCTGAGATGGGAGAGGGGAGGACAGTGGCTGGATCGATGGCAGCTTGACGCTGTTGTCGACTGGTGGCGCCGGTGGCGGCGAATCAACTCGCCCGATGAGGGTCGAGGCGGCAGTGGATAGCCTCGATGAGCATCGTGTCGTCACTTCGCCCTGCTCGCTTGTCTCTTCTGGCTCTTCCTGGATCGTCTCGTAATCCTTGATAGCCTCGTTTGCCTCCTTGAGCACGCTTGTGAGGAGTAGAGACAATCGTTCCAGACGCTCGTCTTGGTCCTCGTCGTCCTCGTCATTCTGGCCATCTTGGAGGGCGGCTCTTGCCATGAGGATCTCTTCGTCTTCGTCTAGCAGTCGCCGTCGGTGATTGATGTCGTCATCGTAATCGGATATCAGTGTTGTTGGGGAGGATAGATGTGTCAGATGGGAGTCTAGCGAGTTCTCGGAAGATGAATTTGAGGCGTCCGTGGCTGTAGATAGAGGCCGGGTGACCGCCGGCGAGAAGTATTCGATGGAGGAAGGGTTTATGAATTTATCCGTGATTACGGCGGAGAGACGGTCGATGGCCCGGCGGGTGCTATATCAAATGATATGCTTTGTTAGTCAGAGTCTACGAAAACGAGCCCAGGCAAGGAGATGAACCTACCCATCCAGATGGTCCAGAAGTTCAAAGGTGCTGGATAGCCCTTCCTCGTGGGCATGAAGCTCACTGAGTAGATTGGACAGCTGATTCAACAGCTCGTCCCGCGGCACTTCCCATTGAGGAGAATCCATATCCATTTTGGCGGATGCTAGATCTAGTCCCGAAGACCGCTACGCGGAAAGAGTTGGATAAGTTCGCTTCTTCGAGTGGAGTCCTGCCGCTGGCCGCCTGAGTTGGGGCTATCGATATACTACTAGCTTGAGATATCGAAGATCGGAGAAGCCGAATAAATAGACGAAGTGACGAAAAGCGGAGAAACGAGAAGATATAGATCCCGACTGAGGTATTATTTGCAATTGCCCCTCCTTGTGATTACGTCTACGGCAGATGAGCTAAACCAGGAAGAAATAGAGCTCAAAGGTCGACGATGGGTGGACCGGGAGGGGAAGTTAAAGTATGGGAGACGGAGGAAGGAAGAGGAGAGGCAGGATACGGAGTGACAGCAGTACCGGCACGAGTGCAGGCAGGGTAAATTGGGTAGGCGAGCCGGGATAGGACGAGAATGGCTGTGGAATGTAAGTCTGTCGGCAATGCTCGAAGACTAGGCTCTTTCACAAGCTTCTGCTGCACTGCGGCATGGATGTGAAACGATAATGCTCGCCGGCTGGGCGAGTTTTCCTCGATCAGATGTCGTCTTCTGACTCCCTCGCGGTCGTTCCCGTTTTCGTGCAGGAAGCAGGCAGGATAAGTATGTGATACTTGGTCGATGGTTGGCTGAAGTTGAAAGTCCGCAGAGCTCGAAGAGACGATCGTCCCGAATGACCGTCGTACTGGCGGCCGGGAGAGGGGAAAATCGAGCAGGCAGGCGGAAATGGAATGGAAGGAGACAAGGAGCCAGCCAGCCTACGTGGTTTGCCAGCGCACGATTGTGCGCCCGAACAGGATAGTCTGGTCAGGTATGTGGAGGTGGATGCTATGCAATGCAGGCTGCGGATGTGACTGACTACTGGACGGTGGTTTCGCCGTGCATGCGCCCAGGAGGAGGAGGAGATGCTGTGCTGGCGCTCCTGCAGCCTGCGTCAAACAGGGAATGGTCGGTCGAGCTCGAGCTTCGGATGGCTGGACGGCGAAAATTCTTTCCTGCGGACGGCCAGGGGATTCGAGCAGAACGAGCTTCGAGTGTCACCTCGCAGAGACCGCTGAGGGAAGAGGGAAGAGGAAGAGCGAAGAGATAGCAGCTCGATCAGGGCAGATGACGATGCCGGATCGAATCACTGTTCCCAAGGATGCTCCCAAGGATGCCTACCAAGTACTGCAGCCAGTCATCTGATCGTGGCAACATGGCCGGCAGGACTGGACGTGCATGCATGCGAGCAAGCATGTCTGTCTGGATGTCTGGACTGAAAGCGGCGGCTATCGCCATGACCGGGTCCTGGGATCGATCCGGCACCCGCGCGCTCGTCTGAAGCTGTTTGGTGTTTTGTTTCCGACGGAAGCATCGACGGCGTGCTCGGGGTTAACATTTTGAGACAGCGGTGAGCTGCGCCGGGGCTGACGACAGGCCGCTGTTTGTCTGCGGAGAAGCTGCTTTTTATAGAACGAGAGGAATGCTGCCGCTTCGGGCAACCCTCAGGAACCAACGTCGACAACACATGCAATATATTACCGTCTTTCGAGATGGGATACATACACATACAATACATTCGTCTATCTGTTCGTCCGATGTTCATGACCCCGATTCAAGCTATGGGTACTCCAGTTTGGTGCTGCGATCGGATAGTTTTGGCCCAAGATCCAGCGTCGCCCCATTCGGTCTGAATTCCCAGTCCATCCAGCCTGAAATATACCAAAATATAGCCCCGTCATGCTTCATGGCGACCTTGCAGCGATCACCCTAGAACATATCTCTTCCTCGAGAAATTCCTGTCCTTCAGGCATGGCAATTGTGTATATTTGAGGGTCGAGATCGCTCCGATCCTTGTTATCGATCAGGACCGACACGGTGAAGATGCATGCTAAGATGTATGCTATTCCGTCGACTTTTTGGTACGAAGACTCTCTAGGACTAGCGGATATACCAACTCGATATATAGATTTTCTGGGAAGCAATATATATTGAGCATGGTAGAGATGGGTTGAATACTTTTAGGACTATCAACACTCCAAAATTCACCGAGATCAGTCGGAGCATGACTGAGAACGGAGCAACCCGTCCGGCATAATGGGAGACACAGCCGATGCATTGATCTCGGCTGCGCGACGGGCTGCACATTAAACAGTCTCACATGCAGGTACAAGCCCGATCAAGTTCCCCACATATCACGTTACATCCCCAACTATCCAGTGCAAAAAGATACAGAACTTGGTTCTCAAATGGAAAACTTCGTGGATACGCCCCTGCTTGCGCCTATGAGGTTATTCGCTCGGATGCTCTGGAACTGCGCCATTCAAAACGCTAACTTCCCATATATCGCCGGACTTTTGTACCTTATATCTATGGATTAATCAGGACCACTTCTTATCCTGCTTTCGTAGTGTTGCCTTTCGTAAAACGACTAGTCCTAAAGGCCTAGATTCATTGGAGACCCAACTCATGATAACGT